AGCCGGCACAGTCTGCCTCAGGCCACACTCATTACTCTCGTCCAGGGTCTAGTCATCTCACCCACCCGTTACTGCATCTGTGTGTACGAAACATGTAATGCTACTCAAACATCACGACTGCAGAAGCTGCTGAACTTCGCAGCACTAGTCATCTCTGGGCGTCGGAAATATGATCATGTGAGCGAAGTTTTACGAGATCTCGAGTGGAGGTCTGCTGACAACATGTTCTTGTATCACACACTGACTTTTCGAAAACGTATCCTGCAAAGATCCCAGCCGGAGTCGCTATCTGATCACCTTATCCATAGACGCCATGTTCACCATCGTACAGCGAGGCAGGATGATGTGTTACATGTGCCGGTGATCAGATCCGAATCGGGAAGGCGGCATTTTGTTTACTCCACCGTGACCGCCTACAATGCACTACCGCAGAAAATTCGCGACCTGAGCCTTCCACAATTCAAACGCGAGTCGCGTAGTTATATCATGCAACAGCGGATCAATAACGGATAGCGACGCCTACTTCAAATGACTTTAGCGAATGTGAGAGAGTGCGTTCTGCGTATGTATGCCTGTGTGTGTACATGTTTGCGCGAGCCTCCCTGACCTAGTGTTTTATTTCCATCGCACGGGCTCTGTAATATCCATATTCTGAGTGGAGTGAGCTCATGACGTGTAATAAATAAATAAATAGACTGTAGTTTTGGCTGTCAGATGCTTTTGGTAACGAATCAACTAAAACTTTGCCGTCACAACACAAACTGTAGCTGCCGCTTGAGCCTCCGATAGCATGCCCTGCCCATTAACCCCAATTAAACATTTCAGCCTTCCCTGCTACACCACAAAATTATATCGAAAAGCTTGCTTAGGCCCGTGGTTAGCACTCTTGCACTGTATGCACAAAACTAATAGATGAGACATTAATATTTTCCAATGCGACGGCGCTTTGAGCAGACTTGCGCGACGTATTGAAAACTAAAAGCTGCATAACGCTGTCAAAGACCTCCTTTGCACAATTTTGAGGGTGCTCTTACGCTATGCCAACTCTATATCCGAAAAATGCGTCTCAAGTCCCTCAGTGTACTTCTAATGAACATCATTTGCCTTCCATTTTTCCGGCGGATGGATTCTTAAAATCTTGTTTCTAAAATGTTTGGTTCCTGAGTGCCGACAGGTTTCAGGAACACTGCACGGCGATCCACATGTGGCGGGAGGACGGAAGGCAAACGACGAATCTACCGAACGCTCGCAGCGGGCCGACACTGTTACATTAACGGAGGCCTACATCACACATATATGCTCAGAACACACAAAACCACATAACCATGCGCTTATAACTAAAGAAGCAACACATGTGTGTGTGTGTGTGTGTGTGTGTGTGTGTGTGTGTGTGTGTGTGTGTGTGTGTGTGTGTGTGTGTGTGTGTGTGTGTGTGTGTGTGTGTGTATGTGTGTGTGTGTGTGTATGTGTGTGTGTATGTGCATGTGTGTGTTTCATGATAGGCACGTGACATGGGTCATAAATATTGCCATGCAAAACGGAAAATAGAGGGATATTTAGGAATAAGGGCTGGAATATCGTGGTGAATTAACATATACATGGCAACGTATATGCCATCTCCAATGGCGTTTTTGTTGCGTGATCTCGTTAAGACCATACTACTGGCTTTTTGTCGCGAAGAGCTAGAAACAGCCTGGAGTACAGATTGTTTGTAAGGCAGTTAGTAAAACTCAGGTCATAAAACATAGTTTTGAAAACTTTGCTTTGAAATAACAAGGGAATGGTCGCGTAAGTCCCCCCACCCCCATACTTTCGGTCGGCGTTATGAAATAGGGCGAGTCAGTTTGTTGAGGAGTAAAGTACTTCCGCAATGGAACGAATTTTTTTTCGTCTATTCTTACTGCTCAAACTTATGGCTTCTGATCACAGCAATGAGATGTACCCCGGACGAGACGAGCGCGAGTGCGATATGAGCCAGCTGCACCGGTGTTCACACGACGCCCCGGATGTCACACTGGAGACGAGCGCGAGTGCGATATGAGCCAGCTGCGCCGGTGTTCACACGACGCCCCGGATGTCACACTGGGAGACGAGCGCGAGTGCGATATGAGCCAGCTGCACCGGTGTTCACACGACGCCACGGATGTCACACTGCAGACGACATTTATCCGATCGGCATGTTTCGAAAAGATTCAAACATTTTCGTGTCTTGCAAAGCCCCGGATCCTGAAAACGGGGATTGAGATCTTGAAAATTGGGATTCGGATCTTAAAAAAAAACATAGGATGGATACTGAAGCCCGCCCATCGTAAGCTTGTAATCACAAATTTCAGAGTATTCTCAGCTGTAGCTTACAACCCTTGCATAGCACAAAGTAGAACTGTGAAATGCACACGATGAGATTAGACGCGACGGCAAGCGTTACAATTAACCTATTTTAACCTTTTGGAGAGATGTAGTTGCATACATCGTGTGATGTCTTCGTCCAGCGGTACGACTCAGCTCGGTCAGAAAGAGACGGCTAACGACGCGGCGATCTGTAATGGACCGAGTCCAGTGGCGTACTGCCCCTGCTATACCAGGCAGGCACGACATAACATTTAGTTCAGGTGAGCTACCACTTATAAGTCAGCTTACACACACGCACCTATCATGCGTCCCGTACGGTCCGTCTCGGGACGGCGGTCAGCGCCCGCGGCGATATGTCGCAGTTCCACCGCGCGGCCGAGGCCGCGGCGCGACACGGCAGGGGCGGCATGCTGTGCCTTTGTGAAGGCTGGGCGTGCTCACAACACATCGGGCGATGGAAAACGATTAAAATATTAAAACTCCTGTTCTGAGCCACGGCTCAGAGGCAATTCAAGCATTACCGGCAAAATAAGCGGCCAAACAGATGAGTGTTCGAAGCACGTTTTGCATTACGCGAACTTGCCTCCCAGCCAGAGGTAAACAACGTTCCATTTCATTCGACGTGGTAGTATAATTTATATTCGTTAAAGCGCTGCCATTTTTTATGTTCATCCATTAACACTAGGCACAAATAATCGAGCAGTGGCCCGCAAGCTGATCTGCAAGCCGCCTTTCAACACCATGGGTCATTGCTAAAGGTCATCATGGGCTGCGCAGACCGGCGAGTACTCACACCAGCTGGGAAGGTTGGGTTCACAAGCTGGGAAAATTGCGGGCGCGGGCAAACGGCACGCATACAAGTCCTAAAATCTACGGGTGTCAACACGGAAAGCGATGTTTTCAGCATTCTCACATATAAATTAGTAGCACAAGAATACTAACACAAATTTTTACGAATAGTTGACTGGTAACTGAGCGAACGTTGACACCGGGCACACAACCCAGGCAAAACTTTCACTGATGTTAAAATGCCACCGCAGCAACATATACGCTAAAGACATCACATGTAAAAAAAGGCGAGGTATGCAATATAAAATATAATGACAAATATCATGCTAGATAAAGCATTTCAGTCCAATCGCGACCACAATCGTAACAGCAAAATACGTTTACATAAGATACAGAAGCTCCAAGTTATTGTGCGAACAACTTCGTTTGCATAATGATAATATACCCTACATATCCTGAAACAGTAAAACATATTGGACTTCAGTACACCACATGAATGCTTTACAGCAGCCCACTTAGGGAAGTCAAAGAATCACGTCATAGATTTAGGCGTTATGTAAAAATGACATCGTCTAACAATCCCGATCCACACACTGGTCTTGGTTCATAAACCTGCTGGTTGCCGAACAACATTCAAAACAAGCACATGACCTAGAATAGGTAGTTTTGAAACAGTTTTTAAAGCTCGTTAACTCTTCTTAAAATAACGATACCGGTCCATGCTATCCAAAATATCCAACAGATAGTTAAGGAGTTAGAAGACAACTCAGTGCACCTTTCGGTAAATAAAATGTGTCCGTGAGATCTTTTCCACTTTTGAACATCATTAACATTAATGGCGTTGCTGGTGAGAATCGCATTTCCTTTTGATACCGTATCATTCTAGTCTGCACGATACAAACTCTAATGGCTCGCAAAACAGGGATGACATAAATCATGAACACGAATTCTGGAACAGAGGAAACGATTTTGTCTGTCAGGCAAGCAGAGCATTCATTTTTACTTGAATGGTATATAACTATGTCTTTTTACACCTTGGTATCTAGGTTGTCTAATCTAGAAGCATGTTATATCAGCATCTGACCATCCTGAAAAAGTCGGCACTGTGAAACGCACCACATAATCTTAAGATTGCTCTTTCAGCTGAAAACCCATACAAATCTGGAAAAAGCATTGTAAGCATAAGTTGCAACGCTAAGACCGTTATCAAAGTATAAGTGATGCTCTTGCTCGCGTGCCCCTGTAGCTGATGACGAAATTAATAGGATCGCGTGCTCAGAAATGAAAACCGTAAAGCATGTGATGTCCAAACATACTGCACCTAATTAAGGTGTCAAGGTATATAAATGTGTGTGATGCAACTGCAACTGTAGGCGTATACCGCTATATCCTGAACACTTCGGCTTGTCTCGTAATTGAAGGTGATCGTGCTTCTCTCTGATTGTGGTTTTCCACTCTCTCGTAAGCCTTTGGCAGTGCTAGACGCGTACATCTGCTAGACTGGCACATGCCCAAAAAAGGTCACTTGTCATGTCGGCGGCGGCGAATGCAAGCAGAGGCGCATGAAGCATGGCGCACGGAAACCATCGTTGGGAGGTGGACTGCAGCGCACGCTCCGAAATGTCCTACATTAACACCGAGCTCCTCCGATGAGAACAAATCTAATATCGCGAGCGCATGTTCCATCCATCTTGCAACTGAGCCGCCAACATACACAGATGAGGTCGTGCAATTTGCACGCCCCTGCGACCCATGGCGGACGTCAGTCCAGAGCTGGCGTGTTTATTGCCTTATTTGTAGTTAATCCGCCCACGGAGTTAATCCGAGACTTCGGCCGGCCCTCGTCAGTGCCACGGCTCCGCTGAGAGTGAGCACACCCGTCGCTCTCCCGCTCGGCACTGTCGTCCCCCACACAGCGACGATGGCCGTCCTGCTCCGGCGCGCGCCGGCGGTGCTGCTGAGTCTGACGCTGCTGCTGACCGCAGCGGCCGGCTACCCCGACGTGCAGTCCCGCCCGCTGGTCGCCACGCGAGAGGGCATCGTCAGGGGCGTGGCGCGGCGCAGCGCCGCCGGCGGCCTCTTCTTCGGCTTCAAGGGGATCCCGTACGCGCGCGCGCCGCTCGGGCCACTCCGCTTTCAGCCGCCGCAACGCCACCCGGGCTGGGCGGACGTGCTGGACGGCCTCAAGCACGGCCGCACGTGTCTGCAGTACAACGCCTTTAAGAACAACAGTCTGGAGGGCGACGAGGACTGCTTGTTCGCCAACGTGTACACGCCGCAGCTGCCGGCGCTGGAGAGAGCCGTTGGAGGTTTGCCAGTCATGGTTTTCATCCACGGTGGTAGCCTCACGATGGGCAGCGGAGACGAGGAGATATACGGACCGAACTATTTCATGGACGAGGCTGTGGTGCTGGTGACCTTCAACTACCGACTGGGACTGTTCGGATTCTTCACGGCACACGATAAGAACGCTCCCGGCAACTACGGTCTGCTGGACCAGGTGATGCTGCTGCAGTGGGTCCGGGATAATATCGCCAGATTCGGCGGAGACCCCGCTGCGGTGACCGTTTTTGGCGAGTCAGCGGGAGGGGCCAGTGTCTCGCTTTTGGTGCTGAGCCCCCTGGCGAAAGGTCTGTTTCACCACGCCATCAGCCAGTCAGGTACGGCATTCGCAAACTTTGCAGCAGGTGGCAAGGCGAAGGATTTCACTCAGAAGTTTGCAGAGCAGCTCAATTGCTCTGCCGACGATGTTTCCATCATGGTTGAGTGCGTAAGGAACGCCCCCTCCGAGGATCTCATGGAGGCCAAAAAGAAAGTAAGCCTGCAGGAGGCGCTTTTTCATCCACGGGTGGACCACGAATCGGAATCGCCGCTGCTGCCAAAGGATCCGCGTGATCTCATCAAGAATGGGGAATTCAACCTGGTTCCATGGATGAACGGCATTGCGGAAGAGGAAGGAGCACTGCTTGCTCGGTTTTTTTCTCCAAAACAAATCAGTGGCGGAAGGTGTGTTTTCAGGAAATCCCATCACATGGGGCATCCTAACTGGCTTGATTAGCGAGTCCGGGGCCATTCCCCTGGACTGTGGATCGGACTCAAACGTGGAGATCGCCAAAGTGATTGACTTCTACATCGGCAATGACACACTCAGCCATACCAACCCTCTGCCGTTCGTTCGAGCTGTAGGAGACCGAGTATTTCTTGCTCCCATGTCGGAGGAGGTGCGTCTCGCGTCACTCCACGCGCCGGTCTACAAATATGTGCTGGATTACAGAGGACCTGGTCGCCTCTCCGCCGCCGAGCTGTTTGGAATTGATGCACCGATCATGGATCCCTCGCACGGCGATGACTTGGTGTACCTGTTCAGCAACGCAAAGCAGGCAGCGTACCCAGCCGACTCGCCGACCTACACCATGATCCGCTTCATGGTGAGCCTGTGGACGAGCTTCGCTCGCACCGGTCGGCCCAGCTCAACCGTCCTGCCGACGCCCGACTGGCCTGTCTTCACCGAGCAGAGCCAGCGCCACATGCGGCTCAATGCGGAGCCCTCGGTCGGGGAGCGGCTGTTCGATGAGCGCGTGCGCTTCTGGCAGGGCGTCCGCATGAACGAGGCCTGGCGGCACGAGGTGCAGACCAGCTGCCTGCCGGCCGGGGCTGAGTACGGAGCGCGCAGGCGGCGCTCGGCCCCTTGAGCCTTTGAGGGTTCAGTGGCTGGTGTACGACTCTGAGAGCCGAGCCGGGATGCCGGCAGGTGTTTTAGAGCCGCTTCCAGTCGCGAGCGCTGACGTGACGGAGACCAGGAGCCCGGCACGCGCTGGTTTTGCCGCGATCTTTTAAGTGAGAGGCGTTAAGTGATTGCTTAGAAAGTACGTCTGCCACATATATGTAGAGCCCACCTCGAACTGTCGATTGTGACACGAATGGAAAATCACATAGATCGATCGCTGGCTGCTGCCACAGCACGCTGAAATGTGCCGTCCCCGGGATGTGCGCCGTCCGTGACACCATGGGATGGCTGCCGCCACAGCACGCTGAGGTGTGCCGTCCCCGGGATGTGCGCCGTCCGTGACACCATGGGATGGCTGCCGCCACAGCACGCTGAGGTGCGCCGTCACCGGGATGTGAGACTTCCGTGGCATCATGGGATGACTGCGTGTTTTTTTCCGTGTGACCATTTCAGAGCTTCCAAAAAGTTCGTGGATTTATCTAGCGTGGTCCTGGAGGTCCGATGAAGCAGGCTTTCTGCTGATTTCTTGTTTTTGTCAAATTTATGCCTTTATCGACCGAAACATTTTGGTAAGAAGATCGATTCTGCCGTTGCTGACATTATTAATCTCAGAAGTACCCCGCCCGAGTGGGAGCACGGACTGAGAGAGGAGGGACGGACCTGATAACAAAGCGTTTGGTGCCGTGGCCGTACTAGTGAGAGAGTCACTGGAGGCGACTGTGGTGAACGGACCTGATCAGGTCATAGCAGGCCCCAAACTGGAGTCACTGTGGGTCCAAATCCGCGTTGGGTCTCGAAAAGTTATGGTGTGCTCACTGTACCGGCCCACCAGAGACAGGTGCAGGCACGAGTCACTGCGGACCTCGGTGAGCTGGAGCAGCAACTCCAGAACATCCTCACACGTCATAGTGGACCCGTCATCATATCTGGTGACATCAACATCAACACCTGCAGCAGCAACAAGAGCACCGCGGCCAGCAGGTTCAGAGAGTTCCTCACAGCATACTCTCTGCAGTAGCATATCAGCGGGCTCACGTTCCGGCCATCTGACTCCACCATCAATTGTATTTGTACAAACGGTGGCGTTGAGCGCGCCGGCACGCTGCGCTGTGACTATAGTCTCCATGACTGGTCACGTGCTCTAGTGCCGCTAGCGGACCACCGACCTGCGCAGTGCGCACTGACGGCCAGATGCTAGCGCAAACTGGACTTGATTGAGGCGAATAGACGTCTCCAAAATGTGGACTGGGGCCCAGTGTACGGCAGTGTTGACCCCGGAGAGCAGTGGGACTAGTTCCTTGCTGTGACTCGTCCCATCATTGATTCTTTAGCACCGATGAGACGTTACAAGTGCGCAATCCTACAGCACCACCTGTCACGGAAGCCAGTAATGACCTGATGGCCCGGCGGCGTGCCGCACTCCTTGATTATGACCGCGAAACGTATAAGTACCAAAGCCGGCAGGTCAGGTAGGCAGTGTGTCGTGACACAAGGGAGGAGATTGATAGACGCGTACGAGAGGGTGGACCGAGCTCGATGTGGCGCAGTGTGCAGCCTGTGGTCTCATCTAAGCATCCAACCAGGTTCACACCCGATGCGAGCGCGGACGACATTAACCGGTACTTCGCCAGCATTGGTACCGCGACCGCCCACCAGGTGGACTCTTCGGGGCCGGAGCGGGCGGTACGCCTGCCACCCGTGGCCACCGGCCGGTTCCAGGTATCGCCCGTTACACCGGAGCAACTGTGACGCGTCATAGCCCGCATGTGTACCGCACATCGTGCGGTGCAGACGGATTGTGTATCCGGTCTTTCAAACTGTGCATAGACGCTGTTTGTCCCGTGATCGCCCATATTGTCAATTCCAGCCTGACAGCCCATGTAGCTCCCGACTCGTGGAAGCTGACAATAGTACATCCTATCCAAAAGACGTCAAAATCTACTGATGTTTCTAACTACAGGCCTGTCTCAATTTTGCCGACTATCGCTAAGGTTACCGAACGTGAAGTTTACGAGCAGCTGTTTGCATATTTTACCTCTCATCACCTGTTCTCGTCTAGTCAACATGGTTTTAGATCATATCACTTCACTGACAGGGCGCTTCTCACGGTAACCGACAAAGTTTTCGAGACCGTGGATCAAAGGGAAATCACCCTGTTATGCCTACTGGACTCATCCAAATGCTTTGATGCTATCCCACATGATGGACTCCGTAGGAAACTCCAGCTGTACAATGTTGATGTACGTTGGTTTGCGAGCTACCTCCAAAACCACTTTCAGCAGGTCCTCGTCCAGAACCCGGGTGGCGCTTCCTCTCTGACCGTGGCTTTGCACAACCCGATCGGAACCTACCAGGGCTCAGCGCTCGGCCTGCTGCTGTACAGCATTTATGCTAATCATATGCCGCTGTATCCTCGTGAGGCATGTATTGTGCAGTACGCGGACGACACGCAGGTTTTAGTGAGTGGGAGGCCCGGTGGCTTTGGTACGCTGATCACATCCATGCAGCAACATCTTTTACACCTTTTCAAATGGTTTGGCAAGAATGGAATGAAAATTAACGCGCAAAAACACAGCTCAAAGTCCTCGGCACGCGCCAAATTCTTGGGAACCTGCCACCGACTAGGATCAGATTTAGGGGCGTCACTGTAGCCAGCTCTCCTTCCGTTCGAAACCTGGGTGTTGTATTTGACCAGTGCATCACGTTCACTGCGCACACTGATGACGTTGTGCGGCGACGCACTGGCTTTCTTATCGGCCTCAGCCACAGCCGGCACAGTCTGCCTCAGGCCACACTCATTATCCTAGTCCAGGGTCTAGTCATCTCACCCATCCGTTATTGCATCTGTGTGTACGGAACATGTAATGCTACTCAAACATTACGACTGCAGAAGTTGCTGAAGTTTGCAGCACGAGGTATCTCTGGGCATCGGAAATATGATCATGTCAGTGATGTTTTACGAGATCCCGAGTGGATGTCTGCTGACAACATGTTCTTGTATCATACACTGACAATTCTAAAACGTATCCTGGAAAGATCCCAGCCGGAGTCGCTATCTGATCACCTTATCCATAGACGCCATGTTCACCATCGCACAACGGGGCAGGATGATATGTTACATGGACGGTGATCAGATCCGAATGGGGAAGGCGGCGTTTTGTTCTCACCACCGTGACCGCGTACAGCGCACTACCACAAAATATTCGCGACCTGAGCCTTCCACAATTCAAACGCGAGTTGCATAGTTATATCCTGCAGTGGCTGATCAATGACGGATAGCGACGCCTACTTCAAATGACTTGAGCGAATGTCAGGGAGTGCGTTCTGCGTATGTGTGCCTGTGTGTGTACGTGTTTGCGCGAGCCTCCCTGACCTACAGTGTTTTATTTCCATCGCACGGGCTATGTAATATCCACATTCTGAGTGGAGTGAGTTTATGACGTGTAATAAATAAATAAATAGAGTGTACTTTTGGCTGTCAGCTGCTTTTCGTAACGAATCAATTAAAACCTTGCCGTCACAACACAAACTGTAGCTGCCGCTTGCGCCTCCGAAAGCATGCCCTGCCCATTAACCCCAATTAAACATTTTAGCCTACCCTGCTACACGACAAAATTCCATTGAAAAGCTTGCTTAGGCCCGTGGTTAGCACTCTTGCACTGTATGCACAAAACTAATAGTTGAGGTATTAACATTTTCCAATGCGACGGCGCTTCAAGCACACTTACGCGCGACGCATTGAGAACTAAAAACTGGGTAACGCAGTTAAAGACACCCTTTAAACAATTTTGAGCGCGATCTTGCGCTATGTTAACTCTATGTCCAAAAAAATGCGTCCTAAGTCTCTCAGTGTACTTCTAATGAGCATCATTTGTCTTCCATTTTTCTGGCGGATGGATTCTCAAAATCTAAGCGTGAAATTTTATATAACTTATGCACCTGCGTCGTAGTAAAATACGCATGATCACTTGCTATGGTTTAGGCGCGTGTATTCGTGTGTGCATCTGCGTGTGTGCATAATAATAGACTATGCGACGTGCGTTCTACCAAGGACAAACTGAACAACCATGTTTCAGGCTAGAAATATGTATCTCCGCATAATACATGGGAGGCTCTACTTTCTTGCGTGACAGAAATGCTTTGCTTAAGTATATGATCCTGATCTAAATGGGTTAAATCTGTCGCCACAGGAAAAGGCTGAAAACTCAGCTCATTGGAATGTTCGGTGGCAAGAACAACCATAGGGGACAAGAAAACTGATACGTGAAAGCAGAGGTGAGCATCGACCCATTAAGCCGTTAATACCTTTATTGACCTATCTTTTTTGCTAAGTGAATAATCTGCAAAAATAGGTATCATTTTCCGTTACAGTTTCAATTTTTACAAATTTTCGATTGAGTTCCGAGCGTTAAGCTTTGTGGGGGCGGTTTGGTTCTAGGCGTATTGGCGATTAGAGGGTTCAGGGATACTTACCTATGCTCTTTGGTCGGTATGCGTCTTTTTTCCTTACCTTTGTCTCATAGAGTGAGGGTAGATGCTACCCTGTATGGTTTTCCGAGGATTTCTCTTCAGTGTATCTTGTAATAATGCCTCATTTTTCCGTGGCCCACAGATAGCTCGTTGTACTTGTTTTGACAACAAAATCGTTTTTTTCTGGCATGTTTGGCTTCTGAGTGCCGACAGGTTTCAGGAACACTGCACGGCGATCCACATGTGGCGGGAGGACGGAAGGCAAACGACGAATCCTCCGAACGCTCGCGGCGGGCCGACACTGTTACATTAACGGAGGCCTACATCACACATATATGCTCAGAACGCAC